AAGAAGGTTGCAGTCAGTGAAATGAAACAAAATATGTATGAATTGTTGGATGTAAAACTGATGATCTACTCTGTAAACCTGCACCCAAATTCACAATAAAAGAAAAAGAAAACTATGACTAGAGAAGAACTGCCTCCTCAATGACCATGGGTATAGCAAAGCTTTCAAAACCTTCATTCGCTGAGGTGGTACAACTCAAAAGGAAAAGAAACTGCGGTAGACATCCATTAATCATTGCAATATAGAGTGTACCAAGTGTGAATCTAGGAAACTTGGAAGTCATAAAAAATGAAATGGAACACATAAAGATCAATATTCTAGGCATTAATGAGCGAGAATGGAGTGGTATTGGCTATTTTTAATCAAACAGTCGTGTTCTATGCCAGGAATACCAAATTAAAGAAGAATGGCATCACATTCATTATTAAAAGATCTACCCATAAGGAGCTCTGGTAGCGTAGTGGTTACGAATCGGGCTGCGAACCTTAAGGTCAGCGGTTCGAAACTACCAGCCGCTCCGCGGGAGAAAGATGAGGCTTTCTACTCCCGTAAAGATTTACACCCTCGGAAACCCTGTACAGGGTCGCTATGGGTCGGAACCGACTCGACGGCACTTAACAACAACAACCCTGAAGTATAATGCTCTCTGTGATAGAGTAATGTTCATACACCTACAAGAAAGACCTAAGGAACCTCTGGTAGCGTAGTGGTTACGAATCGGGCTGGTAACCTCAAGGTCGGCAGTTCAAAACTACAGCTGTTTTGCAGGAGGAAGATGAGGGTTTCTGCTCCCGTAAAGATTTACAGCCTCAGAAACCATGTGCAGGGTCACTATGAGTTGGAACCGACTCCACTGTACTTAACAACAACAAGATAGACCAGTTAATAATACTCAAATTTATACATCCACCACTAATGCCAAAGATGACGAATTGAAGATTTTTACCAACTTTTGCAGTCTAAAACTGATCAAACATGTATTCATGATGCATTCACAACTACTGCTGATTGGAATATGAAAGTTGATAACAAAGAAGGGTCAGCAGTTGGATATAGTAGAGCCGTGGTGATAGAAGCAAAGCTGTAGATCGCATGACAAGTTTATAAGAGCAACAGCTTATTCGTTGCAAATCCCTTTTTTGAACATTAACAGTGGACATTAACATGTGAACCGTACCAGATGGACTAGAGAGGAATCATATCAACTATATCTGTGAAGTGAGGTGATGGAATAACTCAGTATCATCCATCAGAACAAGGCCAGGGGCTGACTGCGGAACAGACCAGTTGCATATATGCAAGTTCAAGTTGAAGCTAAAGAAAAGTAAAACATCCACGAGAGCCAATACCTTGCCTAAACTTAGACGAGTCCTGGTGTGGAACTGTGAGTTAATGCACCAGACTGCAAAGCTGTTTGAACTGCAAGGTTGGCAGTTCAAGCTCACCAGCTGCTCCTTGGAAACCCTATGCAGGGTTGCTATGGGTTGGAACTGACTCGACGGCACTTAACAACAACAACAAACTTAGACGAACCCATGATGTAGCTCTCTAGGATTAACACTGGACTTCGAACCACAAGGTCAACAGTTCAAAACCCACCACCTGCTTCTCAGAAACCCTATACAGAGTCACTATGAGTTGCTACGAAGTCAACAACACTTAACAACAAAACAAAACAACTTAGTGACCATCTCAAATTTGATGCATTGGACACTTACAACCTAAGACTAGATGAGTTGTGGAAGAAAGCAATGGTTAGCTAAAAGACAAGAAAGGAAGAAAAGACTAAAATGGATGTCAGCAGAAACTCAAACTTTTTCTTGAACCTGGAGAAGCTAAAATGAAAGAAGACATGATGAAGTTAGAGTTGGAAAGAGGATGTCAGAGTAGCCTGAGAAGACAGAGTAAAATATTGTAGTGCAATGTACAAAGACCTGGAATTATAAAAGCAAAAAGGAAGGACATGCATGCTCCACATTTTTCAAGCTAAAAGACCTGAAGAAAAATTTCAAGCCTCACATTGTAATATTGAAGGATTTTATGAGCAAAATAGTAAATGACACAGGAAGCATTAAAAAAAAAGAAAGAAAGATGGCAGGAATACCAAGTTACCACACCAAAAAGAATTGGTCAATGTCCAACCATGTTAGCAAGTAGCATATGATCAGGAACTAACGGTATTAAAGGAAAGAAGAAGTCTAAGCTACACAGGACAATGGTGATGAAAAAGCAAGACTCAAAGAATTAACAATGTCAATTAAAATGTTTCAACAAATTGATGTCGCTCTGGAGGTGCTCACTTAAGCCATGTCAGAAAATTGGGAAAACAGCTATGTGACCAAAGAAAAGATTCATTTTCATACCCATTTTGAAGAAAGTTGATCCAACAGAATAGAGAAATTATTGAACAATATCATTGCTATCACAGGTAAGTGAATATTTGCTGAAGATAATTAAAAAACAATTGTAGTACATCCACAGAGAACGACAAGAAATTTAACCTGGATTCAAAAGTGGAGATGGAGTAAAGGATATCACTGCTAGTATCAGATGGATCTTGCTGAAAGTAGAAATTGCCAGAAAGATGTTTGCCTGTGTTTCATTGACTTTGCATAGATACTCTACTGTGTGGATCATAGCAAATTATGAATAGTATTTCGAAGAATGGGAATTTTAAAACAATTTTACTCATATGAAAAATGTACACAGACCAAGTGACAGTTGTCTGAACAGAACAAGGGAATACTGTGTGTTTTAAAAGATATGTGTCAGGGTTGTATCCTTTCACTATACTTATATTTAATCTGTATGCTGAACAAAGAATTATCGAAGCTGGAAAAAGGCATCGGGATTAGAGGAAGGCTTATTAACAACCTTGCTGGCTTGCTGAAAGTGAAGAGGACTTGAAGCACTCACTGATGAAGATCAATGACTACAGCCTTCAATATGAATATGTCGTTGTTGTTAGGTGCCATCAAGTCGGTACCAACCCATAACGACCCTGTGCACAGCAGAACGAAACACTGCCCGATCCTGGGCCAACCTCACTCCTGTTGCCACGCTTGAGTCCATCGATGCTGCCACTTGGCCAATCCATCTCGTTGGGGGTCTTCCTCTTTTTCTCTGACCCTCCACCTTACCAAACATGATATCCTTCTCCAGTGACTGGTCCCTCCTGACAATATGTCCGAAGTATGAGAGATGAAGTTTGGCCATCTTGGCCTCCAAGGAGCACTCTGGCTGTACTTCTTCCAAAACGGATCTATTGGTTCTTTTGGGAGCCCATGGCACTTTCAATATTCTCCTCCAACACCATAACTCAAAGGCATCAATTCTTGTACGGTCTTCTTATTCACTGTCCAGCTTTCACATCCATACCTCAACATAAAACAAAAGTCCTCACAATGGAACCAACAGGCAGCAGCATAATAAATGGAGAACATATTGAAGTTGTCCAGGATTTCATTTTACTTGGATCCACAGTTAATGTCCATGGAAGCAATAGGAAATCAAAGTTGGATTGGGCACATCTGCTGCAAATGATCTACGATCTCTTTAAAGTGTTAAAAAGCAAAGGTCACTTTGAAGGGTAAGGTAAAACTGACCAAAACCATGGCATTTTAAATCATCTCATCTGCATGTGAAAGCTAAACAATAAATAAAAGCCAAAGAAGAATTGATGCCTCTAAATTATGATGTTGACAAAGAATTTTAAATATGCTATGGATTGCTAGAAGGACAAACAGATTGTATTGAAATACAGCTGGAATGTTCCTTAGAGGTGAGGATGATGAGACTTTGGACATGTTATCAGGAAGAAGGGACTGGTCATTTTGCATGGTAAAGTAGAGGGTCAGTGAATGAGGTGGATTGACACAGTAGCTGTAACACTGGGCTTGAACGTACCAGAACGATTATGAGAATGGCCCAGGACTGAGCACTGTGAGTAGGAGCTGACTGGACAGCACCTAAAACAGAGAACTTGGATGAGGGACGGAAACGGTCCCAAGCTAAGGCCTGAATGGATGCCGGAGTGACTGTGGTTGTAGAGCCCTCCAGGTGGGCTTCCTAAGCAGAGTCTTCATCTGATGGCACCTGGTAATGTCAGCGGGCAGTTGGGCTAGGAGTGTTTGGACGTGAATCAGTTTATGTTGCATTGTAAAGCCTAGTCAGGAACATGACCTCCAGGTATGTGGGATGGATTAGAGGGGGAGAATCTAAAGGCAGAGAGACCATTAAAAAACACTAGTGGGCATAACCTCGGTGGCACCATGGGCTAGTTGTTGGGCTGCTAGCCACCAGGTCTGCAGTTTAAACCCACCACCCACTCCTCAGGAGAAAAGCTGAGCTGTCTGCTCCTGTGAAGATTTACAGTCTCAAATTCTATGTAGGGTCACTGTGAGTCGGAATTAACTTGATGGCAGTGGGTTTATACACATACATATATGTGTGTGTGTGTGTGTGTGTGTGTTTATAAATTCACTGGATATTGGGATTCTCTCCAGAATTGTGCATGTGAGGAAATCAGCAAGGTTCCAAGTGACTTACCCAAGTTATAGCCTCTAAGTTGGGGAGTCCAGACCATCTGACTCCAGAGCCCAAGCCCTTAGCCAGTCTATTCCACTGCTTTCCCCAGTGCAGAAGGAAACCGTTCTGAGAGGTGGGGTGGGAGTAGAGATAGAGTCCATGGCTTAGGGCCAGCATGAAGAGCTCAGGTTTCAGGTTGGCTTATTGGGAACCACAGCACGCTTTTGAGAGCAGGAATGACAGAATCAAGAGAAATTACTCTGGAAGCTTCAGAAATGGAGTTAAGAGATAATGGAATGTTTCCAGGAACTCATTGAGGCCCCTTTTAATATTTGATCTCACCTTAAAATGTAGGGACTGGGTCAGGGATCATGAAAAGAGGCTGAGAGGGAGCCGGCAGCTCTGAGTTTTATAGCTGTCCCCGCCCGCCCGCCCACCCACTTCCCTAACAGTCCCTCTCATTTCCTCTGCAGCCATCGTCAGCCAGTGGCAGCAGGAATCCAAAGAAAAAGTGGTGTCCCTCCTGCTGTCCCACCTGCCCCTGCTCCAGCCAGGCAATACGGATGCCAAGACGGAGTACATGAGGCTGCTGCAGAAAGTGCTGGCTTACTCCATTGAGAGCAATGCCTTCATTGAGGAGAGCCGCCAGCTACTCTCCTATGCCCTCATCCACCCAGCGACCACATTGGAGGACCGCAACGCACTGGCCCTCTGGTTGAGCCACCTGGAAGAGCGGCTGGCTAGCGGCTTCCGCACCCGGCCTGAACCTACCTACCACTCGCGCCAGGGCTCAGATGAGTGGGGGAACCCTGCCGAGCTGGGTCCTGGGGAGGCAGGAGCAGGCTGGCAAGACAAGCCCCCCCGGGAAAATGGACACGTGCCCTTCCACCCACCCAGCTCAGTGCCATCCACCATCAACAGTATTGGGAGCAATGCCAATGCAGGTGAGAGGAAGGGCCTCCCAGAAGGCTGGGCTCTGTCTACACTCATTCTGTGGGCTGGGCCAAGTCACATAACCTTTCTGGGCCTCAGCTTTATGAGGTAGCACAAATCTTACAAACTGGCATCCCCAGACTGACTGAATTGTCTTACTGAGCCCACATTGTGGGGTTTTTCTTTTCTTTTAACTAAATTGGGTGATAACAGGAATGGGGAAATCTCTCTCACACACACAGACGGCACTGAGTCTTTGCCAGGAGCTGTTATGAGAACTTTATATATTTAAACTCATTGACTGAGATGTGGCAAAGTTACTTGTCCAAGGTGGTGTAGCCAGAATGTAAATCCAGACAGCCTGACTCCCGAGCGCCTATTCTTAACCACTGGGCTCCAAGGCATTTTCCTGAAGCTACTTACACCTCACTAAGAGGAGGAGTCACTCAAGAAAGGTGCCCTTCCTCAAGTGTCTTCCTCACAGTTTCAGGGCTCTCTGTGACGAGGACAGCAACTCTGGAAGGACCCTGCTTGCACAGTGTTGGGTCAGGGATTTGGACTAGAAGAGAATTCCACGTTCCGAATAAAGGGCATGGCAGGTGCTATAGGAAGCACACGATGTCTACTTGGAGGGGAGAGTATGTAGACAGGTCTGGCTGGTGTAGAGAGCCGAGTGAGGATGGAAACGAGTAAGCATATTAGCGAGTGCTTGTGTCCCATGTGTCTGGCACTGTGTTGAGGGCTCCACATGGAGGCAGAGAGTAAACAAAGTGACACAGTTAGTAAGTAGCAGAGTCAGGATTTGAACTCCCAGACCGCAGTCAGCTGCAGCCAAATTCAGGGGACGGTGGACCTGAAGGACAGGATGAAGCTTTTGGATTTTAGGCAATTGATGCAAACAGGAAACCATTAACATGTTTTTGAGGAGGAGCAAGGATTGGCCTGAGAGAGCAGGCAGGGTGGATTTGGGGTGCTGCCAAGGACAGACCAGTGATTCTTGGAGAGTGTGAGACATGGGTCTCCAGCCGGCATTCCTGTTTTTGTCATTCTCATACTGTGACCAGCCTCCACTCCACTGCAGGACCAGAAAGGGCACCTCAGGAACCGCGTGGTCATTCCTATCAAGCAACTGCCCGTCCAGGAGGTGGACGGAGCCACTAAGTCAGGCACAAGAGCCTGTACTCAGGAACCCCAGCACCCAGAACCCCATATGCTGTTTTTTCTTAGAACTCTGGAGGATGAACAGGAGCCAAGGCCTAGAGGCTCGGAGTGAGCCCGCACTCAACCCAAGGCTCTAGAGGTCGTAGTCAGGCACTACCCTCTTCTCAGGTGACTTCTCAGCCAGGAACATAGAACTGTCACAGATGAGGGAGGTGCCTCTGGGACTACTGATCTGGGTGTCAGTGATGTACTGGCAGATGTTCCCATCCCATTAGAAATCAGCCTGGCTGTTGTCTCTGGCTTCTCCCTGTGGGAACTGGGCAGAAAACTGCCAAGACGATTTTCCCACCTACCCATTGGTGAGCTTTTGGAGTGGTTTTTTTTTGTCAGTTTCTCTAGTCTGGCTTGAACACTTCTCAATTCATTGTGTTGAGCTCAGAGGCCCATTCCCCCTACTGCCCCCCCAGGACCATGGATGCCCTCTTTGTGCTTTATGAAGTACTCTTTTAAGGGCTCCTGTCTGCCAAGACCTGGTCCTGATCCTAGAGACTCAGAAGGGATGAATGGGGTTGCTGTGCAGTGGGAGGGTGGACTGCTGAGAAGGGCAGTAAGTACTAGGCTTGAGGCAGCAATACCTGGAGCTGAGGGGACACCGAGGAAGGAATCACAGCAAAGCAACCACATAAGCAAAGCTTTAACGCTGGATCATCTGGCAGGTAACAGTAGAACCACCAATGGGACAGGGGTAATGTCTGCACTGGTGTGACACTTCATGGAACCTACCCTGTTCTGGGAACAGTTAAACGTTAAATTGGTCCCCTCTGCCAACCTCACGAATGAGATGGGTATGGGGTATGGAAGGGGTCCGTCTTCACCTGGAGTAGCTAAGCTTCACAGGTGGCAAATAGGAGGCAGTGCGGCCCCGCGCCAGGATTGTTGGCGGGGAGGGGGGCAGTTGTACATCAGTCGCTTGCTTTACTCGTCCTAACAAAGCCACTCCTCCAGGCCAGGGCCCACGGTAATCGCTGAGGGCCTCTGCTGTTTAAGACCAAATAGATCCCTGCCATCACAATGAACCTATTCTACCAGGGGGACTCTGCTAAGAAGCAAGCAAACTAATAGCTGAATCAGATAAGTTCATGTCGGGACAGGTGTTATGAGAACAGTAAAACAGAGTAGTATGCTAGAGTAACCAACATGGAGTAAGCAGCTGTCGGAGGGCCTGGGGGAAGAAGTGATGCTGGAGATGAGCTGAGAACCAGTGTAAAAGCCCTGAGGGTGAAGCAGGTTGGATGTTCAGGAGTCAGTGGCTCGGGGGGATGACTGGAAAGCATGAGCCACATGAGTGGTGGGAGATGGGACATCAGAGATGAGCAGGGGCCAGGGCTTGCAGAGCCTTATAGGTGTGTAGACACATTTGGATTTGATCAGCATGACAGGAAGCCACAGGTGGGACTGCAGCAGGGGACTGATGGGATCAGTGTGTCTGCTGTGAAGAGAGTGGACTGCAGAACACAAGAAAGAAGCTGGGAACCAGTGAGGGAGGGCAGTGGCTTGGACCAGGTGCCAACAGAGGAAGTGGAGAAATTGAGAAGTGGACAAGCAGCCTGTGGTAGGCGCTGCCCCTCAGACTCTAGGTCCCCTTTGAAGAATTGCTAGAGCCGCATTTATGACGCTGGCCTGGATCAGAGGATCCACGAAGACATGGTCTCCTGTGGTCATATCACCAAGCCTGACGTCCCTCTTGTCTCTGTCCCCTCCTGCCAGGTCTCCCCTGCCAAATACACCCCAGCCCACTGAAGCGCTCCATGTCACTCATCCCCACGAGCCCACAGGCCCCTGGTGAGTGGCCCAGTCCAGAAGAGCTTGGGGCCCGGGCCGCCTTCACCACGCCCGACCACGCGCCCCTCTCGCCCCAGAGCAGCGTGGCTTCCTCTGGCAGTGAGCAAACGGAGGAGCAGGGCTCCAGCCGAAACACTTTCCAGGAGGATGGCAGTGGCATGAAAGGTACAGCACCAGCTCCTCCTGGGGCTTCATTCTACAGAGCTCTGAGGCTGCAAGGGAACCACTGACCACCACCTACCTTGACCCTGTGAGGCCCAGGCCCTTAGCCTGAGAGCAATGAAGACTTCCTGCCTTTAGGGCTCAAGACTGAGCAGAGAGACCCTGCTCCCACCCTCAGACCCCTAGTGTGATGGGGAGAAGGTTCTGCACTTTCAGACCCCAGTCTCTGACAGGAAATCTGGACACAGAGGTAACTGAAAATGTTCCAGAAACACTTTCAGAGAAATCGTCATCTGTGTACATATGTAATTAACCAGTGCAGAAGGGAGACAAGACAAGCAGGCTAGGGTGATCATAGGGAAGGCAGAACTGGCTGAACTGACAAGTCACTCTGAACCTTTAGTTTTCACCGACCCCCTTCCACTTTTCTGCCACTTCGTAAGGTGTCTGCTTTACTTTTGATCCAGCCCTACAATCCTCTCTCTGCCCTGGTCACCAGGGCCAGACTCCTGACCTTTCACCATCTCCTTTCTGCAGATGTGCCCTCTTGGCTCAAGAGCCTGCGCTTGCACAAGTATGCAGCCCTCTTCTCGCAGATGAGCTATGAAGAGATGATGACACTGACTGAGCAGCACCTGGAGTCTCAGGTGACACCAAGGGGCCAATCAGGGAGATGAAGGGGAAATAGTACCATTTGGGGGTACCTTTGCAGCCCAAGCCTCCGCCTACTCTCCAGTCCCTTTTGGGGCACCCTGAGTAACTTCAGCCTCCCATTGCTAGCTTGTTGTCCTCTTCTTTTCTCACCACAGAATGTCACCAAAGGTGCCCGCCACAAGATAGCCCTAAGTATCCAGAAGCTTCGTGAAAGGCAGAGTGTCCTCAAGTCCCTGGAGAAGGTGAGGGCCTGCTTTTCTCATCTCTGAAGCCAACTGACCACCAGTGGTACTAGCAGACCAACCTCTGGGTCAGCCTTACTGCCTAGCTGGCCTCTTTGCTGGCTCTCTCCAGCCCCAAGAGGCCGGCTTCCAAGGTGTAAATCGGCATCACAGTGTACTAGCCAAAGGCTCAAAGGGTCCCTTCTCTCTTGGTCTGCATTTCCAGAATGTCTTTCTGCCTTTCAGATTGCCCCTTTGCCAGCCTTTCCCTGTGTGAATGGTCTTTCTGGGACATCCCTGTGTTTCCCTGTGTCCCTGGTCTCATTCCATTGTGTTGTTTCTCATTGGCTCTCTTTCCACATCAAAATTCCAAACCCGCTGCCATTGAGTGGATTCTGACCCATCGACCCTGAATAGGGTTTCCAAGGCTGTAAATCATTGTTGTTGTTGTTGTTGTTGTTGTTAAGTGCCGTCGAGTCGGTTCCAACCCATAGCGACCCTGTACAGGGTTTCCGAGGGTGTAAATCTTTACGGGAGTAGAAAACCTCATCTTTCTCCCGCGGAGTGGCTGGTAGTTTTGAACCGCTAAGCCTCATCTTCTTCACATGGAATGACTGATGGATTCAAACCACCAACCTTGCCGTTAGCAGTCTAGTGCTCATCCTATGAGGCCACCCTTTTCCCTCCCCCTGCTGCTTACTTTCTGTTTTGTGTTGGTCTGAATCTGGTCTTGCCCTTGTGGGACCCGAAAGTCCTAACACTGGATCAGCTTTTCCGCCACCCCAGGGAACTCTACCTAGAGAAGAGGGGTAGTGTGGGGGCTGTGTTTTTTACCTGTGTGTCCCTCCATGTATGTGGTACTTGTGGTACCCTTCCATGCTGGAGCCCAAGGCCTCTCCAGGCCATGACTGACTCCACATGCACAGCCATTCCCCATGCCTTGCTTGGGGTCTACACGTGAAACTGGCCTGTGTCTCCCCATCCAGGATGTGCTGGAAGGTGGGAACTTGCGAAACGCTCTGCAGGAGCTGCAGCAGATCATCATCACCCCCATCAAGGCCTACAGTGTCCTGCAGGCCACCACCACCACCACTGCCACCACCACTGCCAAGGATGGGGGCCGAGGGGAACTGCCGCTGCCAGGTGCTGAGCCTCCCCGGGCCCTTTCTGACACAGACAAGGGCACTGAGGCCAAAGACCCTCCAACTGCAGAGAGCTACCCCCCTCCACCAACTCCGGCTCCTACTGATGGCAATGAACCAGCCCCAGCTCCTGTCGCCGACGGAGACATCCCCAGCCAGTTTACACGGGTGATGGGCAAAGGTAAGGCCAGCCAGAGTGTCAGGCATCACGTAGCAGTTAGGTGGTGGAAGGAGGAGGGCTCTTTGTAGTACTCTAGACTAGCACACTGCAGAGTGGCTGAGACTGAGGGTGACAAAGTCTCTCGCTCAGGGAGTGACTGGGCTGATGTCGGGAGATAACCTTTTCCCTCAGAACATCTGTAGCCCGAGGAGAAGATCAGGCAGTGTGGAGGTGGACATGCCGGTGAACAGAGTCTGCAGCATAGCCCTTCGAAGCTCCTCATGGGCTTGGTCTTTCCATGAGGCCGCATGACATAGTGAACTTTCCCGCTAGCTCCAGATCCTTTTAGCTGTGTGACCTGGGGGAGTGACTTAACCTCTCAGGTTCCTCAAGTTTAAACTCCCACATGGACGAAGTTGTTGCCAGTGCTGAAGTGAAACAAGTACCAGTAGCTGGTCTGCATGGGCCAGGCACCTTGTGGGGGGTGCCGGGGGGGTGGTGCTGTACATCTCATTGTAGCCTCTGAGAACCAAGGACAGGCCTGAGTTTCCTGTTCTTCCTTCTGAGCCAGCCAGCTGGGCCTAGGGAGACTGACACATGGCCGAGGGCAGACTAGGGGCTAACCTCCCCTCCTTTCCCATGGCCCACAGTGTGCACCCAGCTGCTGGTGTCCCGGCCAGACGAGGAGAACATCACAAGTTACCTCCAGCTCATCGAAAAGTGCCTGACTCATGAGGTGAGGCCTTCTCCAGATGTGCCCCATCCTTCTCAAGACAAGAGTCCTGCCCTTACTAGCAGGGCCATGCCAGGCCTAGCACCACCTGTCTCACCAGCCTCTCATCTGCCCAGTGTTGGGCATCCACGAAAGCCCTGAGCTCTTTTTCTTCTCAGGGCCTTTGGGTAGGCTCCTTCTTTAGGGGAACAGGGACCCTTCAGCTCTCACTGTAAGCATCTGTTCCTCAGGGACACGTTCCCCGATCTTTCACTAGTTAAACTATCTTGTGTATCTCCCAGATCTCAGTGCTTAGTACAGCTATACTTACTCATGTAGCTCTCCTCTCCCCCAGCCAAACTAGAATTTCTGTGCGCACAGAGCAGACAAGCCATCAGAATTTGAGAGAACTAACGGAAGGCAGATCTGAAAGAAGCACCCCTCCGTACCTCACCCCCGACTCCCTCATTCTAGGCTTTCACAGAGACGCAGAAGAAACGACTGCTGTCCTGGAAACAGCAAGTGCTGAAGCTTCTCCGGACATTCCCTCGCAAAGCTGCACTAGAGATGCAGAACTACCGGCAGCAGAAAGGGTACGCAGGCAGCCTGGCGCCTGAGCCCTCCCTTCATCTGCCCTGGCTGGGTGACAGATAGGGACTAAAGGCATGGTCATGGTCTGGGCTGGGAAGCTGGCTGTACTCTGTTCATTTACATTGAAGACAGGACAGTGCCCGAGCAGAAAATCAGGGGCCACTTCCCACTAGAACTGTGTAAGAGCAGCCTGGGTTTCAGTAGCAGGCCCTTGCCTGGACCTTGTTCTCTTCACCATCTGCAGGGAGCTCTGAAGTCCCTTCCCATCCCAAACAGCAGTTGGTGGTGGTGGTTATGTGCCGTGGAGTCGGTTCCAACTCACAGAGACCCTGTACAGGGTTTCCGAGGCTGTAAATCTTTAGGGGAGCAGAAAGTCTCATTTTTCTCCCATGGAACAGCTGGTAGTTTTGAACTGCTGACCTTGTGGTTCACAGCCTGATTCATAACCACTACGCTACCAGAGCTCCTGGTAGAAGTGCTTTAAGTGGACAGTGAGGCCGATGTACTCAGCTCCCTCCTTGGGGGCATCCTAGGTCTGAAGGAGACAGTCTGTGATGCAGTAACATGTTCAGGGAGGAACTTTGCTCAGGGGACGTGTGGTCTGCCATCTGGTTGGGTTATGGAGAACGTGGGGGAAGGGATGGACAAACAGACCCAATCCACTGAAATTGACATCCTGCCTTCTGCTCTCTTCCAGCTGGGCATTCGGCTCCAACTCACTCCCCATAGCTGGTTCTGTGGGGATGGGAGTGGCCAGGCGGACCCAGCGGCAGTTCCCCATGCCTCCTCGGGCCCTCCCGCCCAGTAGGATGGGCCTCCTGAGCCCCTCCGGCATTGGGGGTGTCTCCCCCCGACATGCCCTTACCAGCCCCAGCCTTGGGGGCCAGGGCCGACAGGTAAGCATGCAGGCTCTAAGGGTCTGGCACTTCCAGAGTTGTGACGGTCCTTGGGATCGGTGTGTCTGTATCTCTGCACCTTACCCAGACCTAGAGGGGAGGGAGGGGCTCTTTGGTCAGCTCTACCCCACCTGGGCTTCTTCCCACTCACCCGCTACCTTCTCTTGTTCCACACCCTGTGTAGAATCTGTGGTTTGCCAACCCTGGAGGCAGCAACAGCATGCCCAGTCAGAGCCGCAGCTCTGTGCAACGCACCCACTCGCTCCCAGTCCACTCTTCACCCCAGGCAATTCTCATGTTTCCTCCAGGTGAGTGTTCCCACCTCCCCACTCCCACTCCCAGCTGGACTGGCCTTGGATGAGACTGGCCAGACTCCAGTGCATGCGCACCTCCCCACACACGGCCTGCCACTCTGCACCCACTTTCAACTTTCATCCTGTGTTTCCTTGTACTCTTTTTATTTTCCCCCTCTGTTTAGTTTTCTCTCTCAAGTTCTGCCTTCTCTGTCTGAATCTTCTTTTCTCACACCTTTCCCACATTATCTCCACACCTCTCCGTTCCCCTCATCTTGGTGTCTGTGTGGGTCTTTTTGGTGGGGGGTGGGCAGAACAATGAGGTTTCTGTGCTGGGAAGTCCTGTCTGAGCAGTGCAGTCTGCCGGCGTTCTCTCTGAAGACTGCACCCAGTGCAGGCTCTGCAAATTAGAACTGAAGGTGTTGGAGAGTCTCCCTTCAGAAACCAGCCCAGTGGCAAGGCAGTCAGGACCAGGGCCAGTGTGGCAAAAGGGAGGGAGAGACTTTGACCACAGACCCCCCCCACCCTGTGCTTGGCAATTACACACACAGCTATGCCTGGTCAGGACCACGCTGCCTCCGGAAAGGCCTTTAGATTTGCTGCTGACACTGACCTCTCTGTGTCATAAATAGTCAGATCAATGGGGACTCTTAATTGATGGGATTCTATGAACTGCGGGCGCCGTTAACAAGGTAGGGAACCCAATCAGGCGTGTTTCTCTTCACACAAGACTTGGGCACTTGTTCACTGACTAGCTGGGTGAACTGTAGGAGGAAAGAATGATACTGTGTGCTAGGCATTGTGTCAGCTTTCTTGCCTTTTCTGTATTGAATTCTCCCTACTGTGTTATGTGGTAGCACTGATGTTGTCATTGGATACTATCAAGTCAATCCCAGCTCTTAGGGATCCCACGTGACAGTGGAGCTGCCCTCTAGGGCTTTGTGGACTAATCTTCACAAAAGCACAGCACTGAGTCTTTCTCTTGCAGGGCTAGGCTACTGTGTGGGTTCAATCTATCCACTTTTCTCTTAGCACCAAGCACATAGTCAGGAAGCTGACATCAAGGAGACTGGTTTTGGTTTTAATTTTTTTTTTATGTAAAACATTCAGGTGGTTTGATAGGGTCGGGGCTTATGGTTCAGGTGGGACTGTGGTAAAAAGTCAGGCTGGAGAGGTGAGACGACTCTCCTGAACTCAGGGGGAAAGCTCACACTGGTCCTAGATGGCAGTGAGGAGCCCCTGGAGATGTAGGAGCAGTGTGAGGTCAGCAGCTGAAGGACAAGGACCAGAGCTGCTGTCTTAATTGGCCCCACCTTCCCAGAGAGCAAGTCCCAGTGTGGGGACACAGAAGGGTTTTAATTAAGCTCCGGCACCAACGACTGAGCCTAGGGCTGCCCAGCGTCTGGGCATATGCCCAGACTGTGCCCAAAGCAACAAAAGAGTCAGAAGCCTGCCTCAGCTTCACCTCATTTCTTCGGTCTGCCATTCTGACTTTCTCTACTAGGCCTCTGCCTGCTTTGTGGTGCACCCAGGCCTTGCCTGGGCCCAGTCATCTCACTGGAGTGTGTGCATGTTTTATTTGTGTGGTTTCTGTCTCTGGCCTCATTGTCCTCCCTAAAAGTCTCTCCTGCATTCAGATACACTTCCTCTCAGCCATTCTACCAAGTAAGCCCATCCCCATTCCTATCTTCCTGGCTCTCCTCTGTAGCCCAGGCCAGCCTTCACCTTCTCCATTCTCTTCTCCACGCAGACTGCCCAGTCCCTGGGCCTGACCTGGAGATCAATCCCACCCTGGAGTCTCTGTGTCTGAGCATGACAGAACACGCCTTGGGTGGTGAGCATTTCCTCTTCCCCTGACCCAGCAGCTCCAAGTCATCCTGAGGGTTCCCTGGGGGGACAAGACTCCAGGGTGGGCCTGGCTGGGATGACAGGCTACCTGAGCGCCTGTTCATGGACCTCCCACCAGCTCCTGATATTCCTCCCTTCCTCCCTTTCTCACCACAGATGGGACAGACAAAACCTCCACCATCTGACGGGACCCACAGCCCAGCGCACCCATAGGCTCCCTGGGCGGCGGGCGGGGGCCAGCCCCCATTGGGCTTCTCCGAAACAGCGAGAGGGTGGGCTGGCTCAGCTATACATTCTAATATTTTTCTACTCTCTCACCCTTTTCACTTTTGTTTAACATTGGCACCCACCTTACTCCCAGGCCCATGGGGGTATCTCTGCAGAGGGGGAGGGGGTATCCAGGAAGTGATGGGGGGACAGGGACTAGCCAGACTGCCTACCCCTTCCTTCCTTTCCTCATCCCCCACCTGGCCAAGTCCCATCACAGCCTCCTCCAGACCACTGACCACCTGCCTGCCCCTCCCCAAGGGAGCAGATAACCCCCAGAGACAAGCTGCCCCCACTCCCTGTGAAGTCTGCTCAGAAACATTGGACTTGGGGAGAAATGAGCAGGCTAGATAAGCTACTCTCGGGAACATTTGAGCGGAGCCAGGGAGCAGCAGTCCGGGGAGGAGAGGAATCACCTCTCTAACTTTTTCTTCGTCCCCACCCCTTCTCCAGAGGACAAGAGCCACCTTCTTCTCACTCACCTCCTTTTGCCCTGTTTATCAGAGGTTCTCTACAATTAATTTCTTAGGCCTATTTAAGATACATATTTATATAGTTCTTAACGGTTTTTCTCTCATCATTCCCTCTCCTTTTTAGAATCCCTAGGCCTCTCTCTGAGCCAAGACAGTGGCAGGGGGAACCTGAATTTTATGAGGGGAGAGGGCAGAGCCCCCTCCTCCAGATCCCCCTCGCCTTCCTCCCCACTACCACCCCATCCTGGTTCCCCAAGGTGCAGAGTTTGAAGGTGGGGAGCCAGGGCAGCCAGTGAGGTCAGGAAGTCTGTTGCCTTAATGTCCCCTTCCCCGCCCACCACCACACCCGCCTCCTCTCTTCTCTGGTTTGGCTGGGGAAAGACTAGGGGTGAGGTATACAGGGAAAGGAGATTGTTTTCTTGTGGGTTTCTTTCCCCACCCCTTTTCTTTCCGTTTCCCCCTACTCCCATTCTGTCATGACCTCACTGAGGCAGAACACTATAGCCCCCCCCAGCCCCCCCCCAATGGCACATAGAGCTCAGATCCCTGTTCCTATGGAGGGGCTGTTGTGTTGGAGCCCTGGTAGAGGGAGGGGACTCGGGGGTCCAGTCAAAGCCAGGGTCTCCCTTCTCCAGCCCCCTCATTCTCCTCAACTCACCCCCACCCCTCACTGGGACATTCTCAAGCTTTTCACATCGAAAAGGAAAAAAAAAAATGTTATTTTTAGATACATTTTATGAATAACTTTTGTTATGAATATGGCTGGTAACCATTGTGTATGTTATTAAAGATACAAAATGTTGGGGGGGGAAATTTGAAAACCACCACCCTCCCTGCATCCTCACCCCATTCCCCAGACCTCGTTGCCCCTGCCCTCCTGGTCTGTGGAACTCCCCCAGCTCTGTGCTCAGGGAGGGGGTAGAGGAAGCCAGGGGGGCTCACCTCCTCTCCCAGTGCCGGGCTGGGTGGGGTGTCAGGTTTATTTATGTACCTCTTGCACACTCATCAACCTATGCAAGTCCCCCAGCCCGGCCCCGCCGTGTTTCTGTGCCTTTGCTCATTCCCCTGAAGCTCCCAGGGTATCTCTAGCCCTCTTCCCACTAGCCCCAGGAAGCAGGAGGGATGGGGGGGCGGGGGACACCTCATTTGGAATCAGTTGGTGTCCCTCTTTATGGGACCCTGACCTCCCTCCAGCCAGCCCATCCTGTTCACTGTTTGTCGGGATGTGCTGGCAGAGGTGCTGAGGGACACCCCACACACAAAGGGAGGCAAGAGCTGGCCCATCTACCCACCCATCACCCCCTGACAGCAGAGTGCGCAGGACGCAGGCGGCCCCACTCTGATGGGCAGGACCCAGACCCCAGACCCTCTCCTGTCCCCCTTCCCCAAACCCTCCACCATGATTTCGCCACCACCCCCCCTTTTGTCCCCAGCCCCATTGGCAGAATCAGCTTTGAGTATAACTGTACAGTTTTTCTCGCTGTTGAAGAAGACTTATTTGTTGGAGTTTCACTTGTTAATGGTCTGGGCTTATTTTGGAGAAAAAAAAAAAAAATGAAAACATAAAAGGATTCTGATCTTTGTTTTGCTGCATTTAATGGAAACCCCGTCCGTGGCCTTGCACTTTTGGGTCTGGAACACCTGGAGCGGGGATCCAGTGAAATGAGGCCACAGGGGCTGGGTAGAGGGCAAGAACTTGTCTTTATTAACAGCAGAACGGTAGGTGGGGAGGGCAAACCAGATGAAGAACTCACAGACCGACCACTGGGCAAGTGCCTTGTGCCCTTAACGATGGTGCATGTGCCAGCCCAGGGACCCTGGGACTCAGTCACTGTCACTGTCGGCATCGCTGGAATCTGAAGGTGCCGCTTCACTGCCATCCTCCTGGGCTGAATGCTCACTGCCACTGGGGAAGGGGCTGGCACTGCGGCTCCGACTGCGCTGGCCACCCCTCTCACTGCCACTGTCTGAGTCATTATCACTGCCACGTGTCTGTCCTCTGTCCTCCTCCTCAGAGTCAGCATCATCCTCCGAATCAGCATCACTGCCAAAGATCTCCTCTTTGTCCCGAGCAGCCCGGGCCTCATCCTCGCTGCTTTCGTCCTCGCCACTGCCACTCTTTTCGCTGGCCTCCTCCCTGTCACCTTCCTCCCGCTCGCTCTCACTGCCCGAGTGTTCATCCTCACTGCCCTCCTTCTCACTGCTGCTGCCCTTCTCTCGCTCTTCATCTGTGGGGGAAGCAGAGTAGTGAGCAAGCCCCCATTTTCCTGTGCCAACTCTCCAGGGACCCCTAGGCTGTCTGGCTTTACCTGAGCCCCCAGCTTCTTTCTCCTCTGTCTCCATCTCCTCTTCCTCCTCCTCCTCAGGCTCGTGGTTCTCCAGCTGCGCCTTTCTCGCCTCCTGGAAACAATGGGATGGGGGAGGGAGGTCACTGTCAGGTCCAGTTCCCTTGTCACCCTCTACCACCTTCCCTGTGGGACCCCTGGGCAGAAGAGTGCTTGTTACCTGGGCTTCTAACTCCTTTTCGTTCATGTCCCGGTGTTTGACCACAAGCAGAGCATTGGTGCCTGACTGGACCCCAGCCTTGGCCCTACGCTTACTAAGGCGGACCCTGGGGGAGGTGGGGGCGATAAAGAGAAAGTGGTTAAAGCCCTGAGGGGTCGTCTGCCTTGGTTTATTCTTCCCACTCAAGGCTTAGCCAAGCAGGCCAGAGTAAATATGGGAAGAAAATATGTGAGTAAGGGGGATTAAACTCAGTGGAGAGGGCAAGAATGAGTGCTCCTGAGGTACCAATTTGGGTGGCCTGCACTGTTTATCTACTGTGAGTTCCTCACCAACATTTGAAAAACCAGGCTCTCACCTGATCTGGCTTTCTGGCTTTTAGAAAATACAGATCTGTGGCCTTCGTACCATCCCACATACACTCACCCGCCCATAGCACTTGAGACCAATGGGCTAGAGCTGGATCAGGGTAAGGGTGACCCTCAGAGGTGCCAGGAGCTGCTGGTCCTCCAGACTCCAGACCCCAGGCCCCCACTGCTGCTTGGCTTACAGGCTCAGAACAAACAGATGATCACTGCTTTAAATACAATCTCAAGGTCGCCCTTTCCCAACCGTAAAAGAGCAGCCCTATAGAGCACTAGTCTTAATCATCAGAGAAGAAATGGGGCCTGACAATCCTCGGAGACCGCATTTCATTCCACTGTGCCTGGGGCCGCCATGAGTCAAGGGCTGGCTAGAGAGCAGCCAACAACCATCTACAAAAGCTGTGTCTGCAGTGAAGACTTCCTTCTTTCCACTCACTTAGAAACAGGACTAGTTCACATGGGTTACATAGGCTTTTACTGCTCTTCCGTGTGCATGTGACAAATCCGTAGGGGCAAATGACCCCCATGGGCACAGCCCAAGCTAGTCCAAGATGAGAGTGAACTGGATACCTGGTCTCCAACTCATTGTAGTAAACCCCATCACCCTCTCGGAAGATGAAGAAGTAGTTTTCCTCGTAGCCCTTGCTAGCCTTGTTCTTCACATTCCAGTTGTACTCCCGAGCAATCTTGTAGTCATACCTGAGGATGAGAATGTAAGACCAACCCCATTCCTCCCGTGAGAGAAAAGAACACGCTTCTCAATCCCCAGACCCAATCCCAAGCACGCACACATCATCTGGTGCATAGTCCATCTCCTCCTCCTGGTCCCGCTTTCGCTTCTTCAGAGTCTCTTCCACGGGCAGGAAGTAGGCCACAAACTGGTTCCCTTCTTCGTCCATCATGCCCCTGGTTGGTGAGGAGAGAAGGAGCAATGAAAAGGGAAGACGAGGGGACAATCAACGAGCAGGACACAGGGCAGCAGGGCCACTTGCCTGATCATAGCCTGAGACATCATCTCCAGTGCCGCGGCACCACTCGTGTCCTTGGGGGCTGGGTCGGAGTCGAAGATGACCTGAGCACACGGGTTGATCCACATCTGGGAGGATGGAACATACAGGTTGGACAGGACGGAGGACTGACCCTGGCCCACTTCTTATGAACAAGCATCCTGTGGCTATCCGGCTCTGCCTCCCGCCTTGGATCTGACCTTAAAGTCTGGGAAGACAGGCATGACCTCCACTGGTGTCACCCGTGGCTTGCTGTAGTGCTGAGAGATCTGGTGGGGCCAAAAAACAGTGAAAAAGAGGACAAGCTCTGGAGCCCCACCTTTCTCTGCTCTCCCACACTAGCCCCTCAGTTACCGACTTCTGGGCATCCTCAAAAGTCTTCTCGATGGCTGTAATCTGGCTATCCCTGTCTTTGTAGATCTCCTCCTCAGTGAACTGCTGCTTCACAGAAACCCCAATCCTAGGAGACAGGAGAGAGCCTCAGGGCTCACCGGACACACACAACCCTCCAGCTGTCATCCCTCCCTCCCTCCCCTGCTCTAACTTACTTAACCTCAGGCTTCTCGTTGGAGATGCCATAACGGTTGAACTCCGTGGAGATGTACTCTGTCTTCCGCATCCATGGCACCACCTTAGCATGCTGCTGGGATCTGGGGGGAGGAGTGGGCCCCACGTTTAAAGATCCCATCCACGCCAGCCCCCAACACCCCTCGGCAGCATCTTACCTCTTAGAGCTTGTAGGGGCCTGAATTTCCTCTTCCAAAAGCTTCTCATCAGCCAGATCCAGAAGAACTAGGAGCGAGTACAGGAGGCAGGCGACTGTGAAGGAGCTCTAGGCCTGGCAGACCCTCCCTGCCTTCCCACATACCATTGGGGTCGATGCGGTAGGTGTCAGGGTTGATCAGGTCAATGGTGACCCCCAGATCTGGCTCAGTCAGTAGGTCATGTTTGTGCTGTTTCTCCAAGGAAGTCGCTTTGTACTGGACGAACCTGGGTAGGGAAAGGTGCCCGCTCTGATTCCCTGATTCCAGCTTTGCCCTGTATTCCTGCTTCCTAGAGACTACGCTTATGCTTTTCTGCAGGGTGTTACCCACCACTGGGGTCAAAAGGCCGGCACCCCCGTGGAAAGACACCACTTACTCTACTGAAATACACTGAGCACGATCTACGGATTCTCTGGCCCTGAGAAGAAAGTCCACGAAAGAGGACTTGCCTTCCAGGAGGTCATGTTTTAGTGATTTTGTCCCCTCATCCCTCACTGCAGTACGTCTCACCTGTTCTGGTCGAAAGGGTAGGTGATGAACTTGGGATCAAAGGGGATGTCAGGGAGGCTGTTGCAGTACTTGACTCGGCAGACCACTCCAGACCTGGGGACACATGGCTCAAAAGTGGGCTCCTGCTCTAATGCATGGCATAAATACACTGTCAAACATAACAAATACGCACAAACAGTAGAAGACAAAACATAACTGGGACCTTCTGAAAATTGTGATGCACTTTTTGTGCATCAAAAGAGTAAAAAAAAACCCGCAGACGGAAAAATTTTTTGCAATGACATATCAGACAAGGGACTAATCTTTAAAATGTATAGAAAACTACAGCACCTCGACAAGAAACGGACAAGGAACCCAATTTAAAAATGGGCAGAGGACATGAACAAACACTTCATTCAGGCAGCCAATAAACATATGAGGAATCATTAGCCGTTGTTGTTGTTAAGTGCCGTCAAGTCGGTTCCGACCCATAGCGACCCTGTACAGGGTTTCCGAGGGTGTAAATCTTTACGGGAATAGAAAGCCTCATCTTTCTCCCGCGGAGCGGCTGGTAGTTTCGAACCGCTGACCTTAAGGTTCACAGCCCGATTCGTAACCACTACGCTACCAGAGCTCCATTAGAGAGATGCAAATCAAAACAATGAAATACTATCTCACCCCAGAATTAATAGCAATTTTTTTTTTAAAAATGCTGGCAAGGGTGTGGAGAGACTGGGACCCTCTTCCATTGCTGGTGGGACTGTAAAATGATTGAAGCACTCTGGAAAATGATACGGCGCTGCCTCAGAAAGTTGGAAACAGAAACAGCAACCCGTCTACTTGGTATACATCCACAAGAAATGTGAGCCAGGACATGTGGCTGTTCATCGCAGCACTCTTCACAATAGCAAAAAGATGGAGACGGCCCATGAAAGAATGGATAAAAGAACTGCTACACACACACAATGAACTCCTATGCAACCCTGAGTAACAATGAATCTGTGTGAAAAAGCTCAGAACACTGATGAACCTGGAGGAAATCAATCAATCACTAAAGGACAAATATTATATGCAACCACTATTGTAAGCTCAAGAAAAGGTTTTCATGCTAAAAGAAACATTCTTTGATGGTTACTAAGGATGGGAAGGAAGGGAGAGTAATTCAGTGGCTAGATGGTAGACACATTAACTCGGGTGATGGGGAGGGCAAAAGACAAGAAGGGGGAGAGTAGTAGATGAGGAGGTTGGCAGAAGAATGTTGAAGGCAGGTAAAGACACAGGGAGGTATGCAAGGGCTAAAAGGGATAGAAGTAAATAGTGTTACATACACAACCCTGAAACAACAGTGTTCTGCAGATAGATACATGCACAGACACAGGCTGAATGGGTATGAGAGGAAGAGTGAGAATAGACCCACAAATATATGAGCGTTTGAAAGAGCATTATTTGGACGTGGTATTTATCTTTGCTGCAAACACAACTATGCAAAGTGGTGGAGCATACAGCACGCAAAATTATCAAAACTTAGATATTCTCAAACATCTTTAAGGCAGTGAGATGCTTGGGCCTTGGGACAGTGGACCACAGTCTCAGGGAACACCATGGTCAACTGGCATAATGCAGTCCACAAAGACAGTGTTTTATATCCTACTTTGGTGAGTTGCATCTGGGATCTTAAAAGCTGGTGAGCAGCCATCTAAGGTGTAGCTACTGGTCTCTCCAGAAGAAATAAGAGTGATGAGGATTGAAGAGGCTTAGAATCAATGAGTCAGCAACCTAATGGAACATGTGAACATCAATCTCCACGACTCTGAGACCAGAAAAACTAGATGGTGCCCGGCTACTATCACCAACTGCTCTAACAGGGATACATTAGAAGGTCCCAGGTAGAGTGGGAGGAAATGTGAAACAAAACTCAAAATTATAATAAAGATGGGGTGTACTGGTCAGAAAGAGACTGGAGGAAGCAGAGATGATGGCCCTCAACCATCTTTCAAGTCTAGAAAGAAACTCACGCTTGTGGCCCAATTTTTAGCCAAGCAGTAGATAAATATGTAGGGGGAACAACAACACTAGTAAGGTCTGCTCACCACAGCATGGCTAATCATTCAAAATCAAAAGAGCAACATTTCTCTAAGGACAACGTTGAGAAGGCATGGGAAGGTGGGTGGAATGGAAATGGGAAGCATAGGGAGGAAGTGGGATCACTGTTGTTACATGGAGGGGATTATAATCCCTGAGAGGAAACACAGTGTATGATATGCTGAATAGAAAACTGATGATCTTGTCTGTAAACCTTCACTCAACTCACAATAGTTTTTTTTTTTAAAGTAGGTCCCTGCTGCCCCACCTCTGATCCCAGTTCCCACTGACCCACCCTTTCTGGGAAAGCTCAATGGGGGGGGGGGGGGGAGCTCACCTTTCAGGCAGAGTCCGGTGGGAATTGGGCCTGTTGGGAAAAAGACACAGAGAAAGATGGAGAGAGATGGGATTGACAGGCAAGTGGAAGGGGCTTCTCCAAGCTTTCAGAAGGGGCGAGGAGACTTCAATGCTTCATTCTCTTTGGAAGAGGGGTCTCCATGTGTTTTAATGGAGTTAGTCAAGTAAGTGTTCAATCCCTTTTGGAGGAAACCCACTGTCATGAATCAATTCCAACTCAGTGATCCTATAAGGCAGAGTAGATAGAGCTGCTCCTTCAGTTCCCAGGCTGTAAATCTTTAAGGGAGCAGACAACTTCATCTTTCTCCCACAGAACGGCTGGTGGGCTTGAACCACCAAACTTACAGTTAATAGCCTAACTGCATCAGGGCTCCTTCTTTTGGAGGAAACAACTCCAAATACTTTCATGAATGAGGCCAAACTCCACTTTATTAACTGACTATGGTGAAGATGTTCACGATTTATGGAAACCCTATACAGACAGGGTCACAATGGGTCGGAACCGATTCAGTGGCACTTAATAGTACAGAGTAGAAACTGCTCCTTACGGTTTCCGAGACTGAATCTTGAAGGGCACAGCCTCATCTTTCTCCCGTGGAACAGCCGGTGGGCTTGAATCAATAACCTTGTGGTTAGCAGCCCAACAAGTAACCCACTGAGTTAATTTGAAGTTAACTCCAAATGCCTTCATTAATGAGACCAAGCAATCCCTTCTTGAGGGGATATCTTTCAATGACTTAAAGAACTCATTCAACCGTTTTTCAATGTTTGAACCCCTCTTTACTAACCCACGGCTGTCATGATGATTATTCCCACTCATAGGAACCCTGTTGTTGAATCTGATTCAGACTCATAGCGACCCTATACAGAGGCTTTTTAAATCGCTGTGGACCAAAAAGCTTCATCTTTCGCCTCGCCTTCTTTGCTGCTGTCCTTACGGTTCACTGTCGTGTTTATACGGTAGAGCCACCCGCTCCCACGGCAACCCGTATTGTTAAGTGCTGTGGAGTCGATTCTAACTCATAACGACCGCGAAGGTTTCCAAGGAGCTGCTGGTGGGCTTGAACCTTGTGGTCAGCAGTCTATTGCTTATCTTTCAGGGCCACACCAGCACTGAAATCTTCAAAAATTAATCCCTGAACTGGATGATGAGGATGGCAAGGAAGGGAGGGGGCAACATCCCGTGCCAGGAGGTGCCTAGAGACCCCGCCCCCTTTGCCAAGGTGCTCGCTGTGACGTCACAGGCACACCTGGGGGCCGATGACGTTCTAGACACACTCCCGCGCAGAGACCCCCGCGCCTCACCAAATTTAGAGGAAAACGCTACCGGCAGGCGACGTGACGCCTACCTGTGGCCATCTTCCCGCTGGGCCTGGGTCTGGATGGTGGGCGCCATGGCGACGACGTGACTACAGCTCAGACGGAGTCCTAGCTGTGCCGCAGGGCGAGGCGGAGAGGCGTGCCGACTTCGGCGGCCGCCGAATCTGAGACCCACCTGGATTGGCGCAGCTCTCCGCGAGGAGTAAGTGAGTCGGGCAGAAGTGGACCGACGATAAGAGTTCCGCACGAGACGCAGGGAAACGCGCAGGCACCACTGAGGACGGTCCCAGAACTCCGGCTCCACCAACTGCCGCCAAGATGATTAGGACCCTTCAGGTCGCATCGCGCCGCGAGGCCTTTCGGGAAATAGAGTCTAAATCAAGCCCACGCTCGGATTGGCGAAGGGCTAGACAGTGGGCGGAGCAAAAGAGGAATGTCTCCCTGTGATTGGGGAAAAGGTATCTCAATCTGGTCTAATACGAGAAGGTGGGATCACTGCTTTCTTCCCATTGGCTAAAATGCTTGGGCGGCGGTGCTAACTAGCCCAACAGGGTCTAGAAATTTTAGAGCGGAAAAAACGGAAAGAGTCTCCCTGGTATACTTCCGGTGCGCTAAACGAAAACGATGGCTGCGCCCCAGCAGACCCCTTCAACGGCTTCCTCGGCCGCTGGCGTCTCGGGCCCGGGCTCAGCTGGCGGCCCGGGGGCTCAGCAGCAGCCGCCGCCGCCCGCGCAACTAGTGGGGCCTGCCCAGAGCGGGCTTCTGCAGCAACAACAACAGGACTTCGATCCCGTGCAGCGTTATAAGATGCTCATCCCGCAGCTGAAGGAGAGCCTACAGGTGATTGGCCGGGAATGGCGAGGTGCCAGCGGGATGTGGTCGCCTGAACTAAAGGGGAGGGCCGACGAGGCTCCTTGGTCCCAGGGTGGGCTACTGAGCAGGCAAGATGAATGGGACCAGCACGAAGTGCTGCGAGGTGGAGCCTCCACTAATGCCGAACCTGGGATTGGCCGGAACTAGAATAGGAGGGAGTTTAAAGGAGAAACTGGGTGCTCATGGTTAAAGTCTAAGGAGAGGACTGACTCCTAGGGAGTTTCGGTCCCTGATTCACGCTCGAGGTGTGTGAAGACCCTAAGGGAGGTTGGGGGAGGTCATTGGGAGTTACACGTGTAGTGATTACTGTGTTGTTGTTGAGTATCCTCAAGTTGGTTCTGACTCATGGTGACCCTATATAGGGTTTCCAAGGAGCAGCTGATGGGTTTGAACTGCTGACCTTGTGGTTCGCAGTCTAGTGATGGACTGCCAAAAGAACAAACCAGTCAGTGTTGGAAGAATTACAGCCAGAATGCTCCTTAGAATCCACGATAGCCAGACTTCATCTCTCATACTTTCCTCATATTATCAATAGGACCCAGTCCCTGGATAAGAACATCATGCTTGGTAAAGTGGAAGGTTCAAGAAAAAAAGGAAGACCTCTCCCTCTTCCCCCCCCCCCCAATTAGATGGATTGGCACAGTGGCAGCAGCTATGGGTTTAAGCATACTAATGACAGTGAGGTTGGCTCAGGATTGGGCGGTGTTTTGTTCCGTGATACATAGGGTTACTATGAGCCAGTACTGACTCCATGGCACCTACTCACAAGACTAGTGTGTGGAATGAGACCTTCTGCAGAGAGGCAAGAGGGGTGGTACTAAATGAAGAAGAGGGTTGTCTGAATCTTAAGGGTGGGAATCTTAAAATGAGACCATCTAAAGATGTTAGTACATCTACCAAAGTTATCCCCTTCAATTTCTCCATCTCCCTGTTTGTTTTTTCATCAGACCTTGATGAAAGTTGCAGCTCAGAATTTGATTCAGAACACGAACATTGACAATGGGCAGTGAGTACACAGCTCCTGGTCACCTCCGTCTCCCCATCTTCACTTCAGTCTTCAGACCTCATCTCCCTGTGTCTGGGTTTCCACCCCTTAGGGCTCACCTTTGTGTCTCCTACGGTCCCCTGGGCCCTACCCTGGTGTCCTGGACCTGTTTCTTCCTAGCTGCTTGGTGAAATCTGGTTGGGTAGACACTGGTGTCCCAAGATTGGAAATCCATCCCTCAGTTCCTCCTTTCTTCTGGGCTGTAGAAAGAGCAGCGAGGGACCCATACAGCGCTTTGACAAGTGCCTCGAGGAGTTCTATGCACTCTGTGACCAGCTGGAACTCTGCCTGGTAAGGGGCCTCTCAGACCCTGAGGGACCACAGCCCTGCCTCAGTCCCCTGAGTCCTCAGAAACCCTCAGTGAATCATTCAGCACTACAGCACCACCTCCGGGCCTGACGTGCTGCAGCACTACTAGAGACACAGCGTTGCTTGGACCCTTGCTCTCACAGTGGGGTGGATATCCCCAAACGGTGGCAGCCCAGAGTGGTTGGGGCTGGGATGGCGGAAGCACAGGCAGTAGGGTCAGTGTTAAAATGAGGGAATCTCAAGGGGCTTTGGAAACCCAAGGAAGACTACTGCTATGCACACTGGAGTGAGGCTAGAAGAAAGAATGGGAGAGGAATCTGAGTTAGAGAAGGGCAGGAGGGTGAGAGTATGTTTGAATCCTTAATCCATCAATGTCCACCTCTGAGTTCTCAGTTCCTCCTTTGGAAAGTGGAGTTTCAGAGAAGACTGTCTCAGTCAGCTAGGTCTCAATCAGCAGGTAAAATACGTAACATGGCATTAGGCACGTGGCTCAGTGTTTCCTTTTGTGGCACTGTGGGTTAATACGTGGACTGCAGAGTCGGTTTGAAACGCAAGGTCAGTGGTTCAAGCTCACCAGCTGCTCTTTGGAAACCCTATGCAGGGTCGCTGTGGGTCAGAGCTGACTTGATGGCACTTAACAAGTGTTTCCTTTAGCATAGTCATTATTTTTAACTAGAGTTTGAAGGAAAAGTCAGAATCTGGGAAGCCTGTTCGAGGTAAGAAGACTGTTCAGCCAGGGAGAACAACTGCTGATTAAGTTCACTTTAGGAACTTTAAGAAATTCAGCCTGACTGGGGTTCATGGGGGCATATTGGAGACTGCACACAGCCCTTGGGCACTGGGGAGCCATGGAGAATTTCACACAGAGAAGAACATGGAATCTTCTTTGGGAATATCCCATCTGCCCTTTAGGAATACCACTTTGGCTGTCAAACAAAGAGTGGCTTCAAAGGGCTGAGACTGCCTCTTATCTCTGGGACCCCAAATAGGCAGCTCTGGCAGGATCCAGGTGGGCTAGGTCTAAGCACAGCCAGGCAAAGCCACATGGAAGGGAAGGGCAGGCAAGGGTGATGGTAAGGAGACTTGCTGGGGTAAAGGAACCTCCCAGGTGAGGTTCAGGTCTCCTCGAGTGGTGTTGTTGATGCAGCCCCAGGAGGAGGAGAAGCTTGGTGGGCAGAGTCTGAAGGGCTTTGGGAAGGACAGGACAGGGCTGGAGACAGAGTTACGAACATTAGTGCACAGGTAAGAACTGATGTATGTTTGGGTGAGACTGCCCTGGGAGAGTCCAAGGAGTGAGCGGAGGAGACTGGCCCTGGAAAGAGTTAGAAGTGCCTTGAAGCAGCATCTTGAGAAGTAGAAGGAAAGTCAGAAGTTGGTGCCATAAGAGAAGCCACTTCAAGCTGGGTGTTAGGGCCCAGTCGTAACAATAAGAGCAAATAACGTTCCTTGGTGGCAGCTGTGTGCAGTCCAGTTGGTTCTGACTCATAGCAATCCTATATGGTGTTGCTGAGGCTGTAAATGTGAGCCAAAAGCCTCATAGTTCTCCCATAGAGCTGGTGGTTTCGAACCACAGGCTTTACAGTTAGCAGTCCAGTGCATGGCCCACTACGCCACCAGGGCTCCTTGTCTCACATGCCTCTTCTCTGAGGTGGGCAGAGATGGTTATGATGCTCATTTTCCAAAGAAGGAAAGAGGCTTGCCATCACCTGCTTGTGTTCACCCAGCAAGTAACTGGGAGGGCCAGCCTTGGACTCCAGTAACTTGGGGTTCCTTGGATTGGGAGTCCTGGGAGCAAGACTAACACCAGACCCTGGCCTTCCTGCCCACAGCGCCTGGCACATGAGTGCCTGTCCCAGAGCTGTGATAGTGCCAAGCACTCTCCAACACTGGTACCCACAGCCACCAAGCCAGACGCAGTACAGCCGGACAGCCAACCCTACCCTCAGTACCTGGCAGTCATCAAAGCTCAGATTGCCTGTGCCAAGGACATCCACACCGCCCTGCTGGACTGTGCCAACAAGGTCATGGGCAAGACGCCTGCACCCCCTACAGGCCCTGGGGGCCCCCTCTGAGCTGGGGAGTCGGGGTGGGGAGCAGGAATGCAGAATGTATCTTGGGAACCCGACATAGCCTGGTCTCCGACTGTTCTTCCTCCTGCCACCAGAGGGCAGCAGAGGCCTGTCAGGAGAGTGCATGGCGCGCGTCCTCCCCATTGTACCTGCCCTGTTCCCCTCCCCAGCCTGGAGTGGACTTCAGACCCTGTGTGTTGACTGGCCTCCCTGTTTCCAGAGGCCTCCTCCCCCTGGCCTTGATGTGACACTCTGCCTGGGCCACTGTCCGTCTTCCCTGGCCCTGGCCCTAAAGGTTGGGGATGGTGGGTTCCATTTTGTAGTTGTTCCTCTGCCTCTATGGAGCTCTGGTAGGATAGAGCTTATAAGTTTGGCTGCTAACCTCAAGGTCAGCAAGTCAAAACTGCTAGCGGTTCTGCGGGAGAAAGATGAGGCTCCCGTAAAGATTGACCGCCTCGGAACCCCTGTGCAGGGTCACTGTGAGTCAGAACTGACTCCAAGGCACATGACCGCCACCACCTATGCCTCAGCTTCAGGTGTCTGTCCAACTTTCGCATTCCCGTTTCTGTGGCTGCTCGCCGTGCCCCTGTGGCTCCGTCTATCACTTCCCTAGTCTTCCTTTGCTGCTTTCTGCTGCCACTCCCAAACTAAAGACTCCCTCTCTTCAAAGGAGCCAGATCTGGGGGCCCAGACACCTGAGTTACCTGGAAGGAGCTCCATAGCCAGGAGACACAAACTATCCCCACCACCACCCATGTCAGTCCAGCCCCCAGCAGCCTTGGCCCAAGAAAGGGGAAGTGGAGAGGTCCAGTCCCTGACTTCAGCACTCCTGGTCAGGAACAACTCAGGCCCCAGGCCGCTGCTCTCACCCAGGCCTGCGTCAGCAACCCTCAGACCAAGGGCATTGTGTAATCCGTGGTGAGGCCTGCCTCCGTGGGTCCGTGGGATGCCTGGGTCCCTGTATTTTTAGCCCCAAAGGAGAAGTGAAAAGACCATGAATCATCGGTCCTGGGGAAG